GGGAATCTGGGGTTAGTAAAACCTTGACTTGGGGTCGGCAATTAGAGAAAATACGATAAATCCCAACAAAGCATCCTTTAACCCTAATTTATGATATTTAAAAGTGACAATGAGTTAAATCAAGTGAGGCGTTCTGAGCAGAGTGAAGAAAGAGAGACGATCGCCGGGACAAGAGCTTTATTAGCCGGCGATCGTGTCTCCTTCTTCAAGACTACTTCCTGGGACTCGGCTCTTTACTTCTATTGACAGAGTGAAGAAACCTTTCCTTGGGTTGGGCGGAGAGGTGGACATTTTTGATTTAGTCGTACAAAATACTAACTACGGTCAATATGCTAACTCAATAAATGTTAACGGAGATTCTAAAATGCGTTCTCGCCCCGAAAAGCTAACTAAAGTAGGGTAGTAATATTAACTACCGTGCAGCATAATTCCAAGTTATTTCAGTTACTACTGGATGCCAGATTTGAACAAACTTCTTTCCAACCGCCTGCAAAACTACACTCTGTAACAAAACGACTACTTACAGTAGTTGTGCTAACTCATGAAATGTCAACCAAAATTTCGAAATGCGTTCTCGTTTCGAAAAGATAAATTAAGTAGTGTTGTAAAACTAAGCATGATGCAGCATAAATCTATCATGATCCAGTTACCTCAGGGTTTCGGCTTTCGAAAGAACTTATTTTCGGTTGCATGCAAGATCTATACTTTGCAAAAAATGACTACTTAAGTAGCATGCAATTTTTTCATTGATTTTCGATGCCCTTGAAAATTCAATTATATTTCATGGAAAACATGCATGAAAATATTCATTCTTTTACTTATTCGGTAGAAAATCACGTCTTCTTCCACTTTTATACTCACAAGAAGAGTATAATTCGGTTTTAAAAAAGTTTCTAATTGTGAGACTTTTTAATGCCGTTAAATGGCCGTTCATGAAACGTCATGTATCTGCATTTACGAATGTGGCTTGTAAAGTTAACAATATGGCTCAAATCGACTGCTTAATTTTATGAACCTTATATGGTCTCTTTTTAACACCGTAGAGAAATGCATGCAATATTGCTAACTTTACAAGCCACATTCGTAAATGCAGATACATGACGTTTCATGAACGGCCATTTAACGGCATTAAAAAGTCTCACAATTAGAAACTTTTTTAAAACCGAATTATACTCTTCTTGTGAGTATAAAAGTGGAAGAAGACGTGATTTTCTACCGAATAAGTAAAAGAATGAATATTTTCATGCATGTTTTCCATGAAATATAATTGAATTTTCAAGGGCATCGAAAATCAATGAAAAAATTGCATGCTACTTAAGTAGTCATTTTTTGCAAAGTATAGATCTTGCATGCAACCGAAAATAAGTTCTTTCGAAAGCCGAAACCCTGAGGTAACTGGATCATGATAGATTTATGCTGCATCATGCTTAGTTTTACAACACTACTTAATTTATCTTTTCGAAACGAGAACGCATTTCGAAATTTTGGTTGACATTTCATGAGTTAGCATGAATTTTCCTCATCGATTTCCGACGCCGTTATAATTCCAAATATAGTGCATAGGAAGTGTGCATGAAAATATTCACTCTTTCTGTCATTTAGTAGAAAATGACGTCTTCTTTAAATGTTATGCCTGAAGAAAGAGAACCTGTCGGTTTGAGAAGACTTCCTCAGTTTCCGAATAATTTTTAACCTGGCCTGCCGTTGCACTTGCGTCCAGGGTTTACAAACTACAAGCTGTATATTTTCCATATAGGCAGAATGCTATTACCGACACAGACAAGGGAGACTGGAATGGCAATTTCTGACTTATTAGCCGTCGTCAGCCAGCCATACCCAAGCCCGAAGTGTGGAACATCCGAGCCTCGAACTCGCGACCTGTTGGTTTAGAAGTCCACGCCTCTACCCACCGGGCCACGAGCCCGTTGCCATGTACCTTTTCCATATATAGGAAAAGGTACATATCTTTACAGTATTAAGAGGAGACTATATGGAGTTCATTAAATGTAGCAGTGGAGTTAAGCCATATTGTAAACATCATAAGCAGCATTAGTAAATTCAGAGACACGATGTTTTACGAACGGGCATTTCACGGTCTTAAAAAATCCCATAATCAGAAACTTTTCCGAAACCGAATTATACCCTTTCTCCAAGTATAAAATTAAAGAAGATGGTATTTTCTACCAAACGAGTTCAAGAATGGATATTTTTATCCATGTTTTCTATGAGATGTATTTGAATTTATAAGGGCATCGAAAATCAGTGAGAAAAATTCATGCTACATAAGTAGTCGTTCGGTTACAGAGTGTAGTTTTGCAGTAGGTCGGAAAGAAGTAAGTTCCAGTCTGGCACGCAATAGTAACTGAGATACTTTGGGATTATGCTGCACGGCAATTAACATTACAACCCTACTTCAGTTATCTTTTCGAGTCGAGAACGCATTTTAGAATCTTGGTTATCATCTCATGGGTTAGTACATCTAATGTAATATGACAGATCGTGGAAATTATAAGCGGGATCTGCGTAAACACTGGCTAAGCAGTTGGGATGCTATTCTCTCAGAGAACATGTTAGTATTTTCAATAATTTTGGTCAGAAGTTTGGAAGATTAATATGCTTAATTGTCTTCCTCGATCAAACTGGGGATGTCGAGAACAGTTTATTCCAAACGCTCGGGTTAGATCGTCATTCAGTGTAGCACAATACCCCTCGATGTCCTTTGCCCGCATGCCCCTGAATCATTGGCAGCACATAGTTTAAAAGAGTCCCACCCGGGGCTGGAATTTGCGTAGCTGATAAAGTCAAATTAGCTGGAAATGCCCGTCATTTTTTCTGCCCTTACTAGTCAACTCCCTCATTAGACTAGTGCACAAAAACCTATTCAGCGCCATTTCGACCGGTAAAGTTACTACCAGTAAAATGTAAAAGTATTCACACATTTCAAGGGTGTTCCTTGGTTGTTTTGTTTACCTCAGAGCCAACAAGACGGAGAACTAGACGCACGACAACTTCCTACCGAAAACTATAATTTTTGGCATGCATAACAACTGCTGACTTATGGCGAAACATCGGTCTCGCAGACTTGGGGAATCTTTGTCGCTCACCGAGGTCGGGTCTACGTTAATGCGATGTTTGGAGAAGCTGTCAGTTACGACTTGCTTTGTGACTTAATCTCAGGAAAAAAAGAAAAAAACACAAAGTACTCTTTATGTTACAATCAGGAAGGTACTATGATAAAGTCTCAGGTCTTCCTTGCATAGGCGGCCATACGTAACTTTTCCCTATCGAAAAGTACTGCTTTTTGTTTCTGCCGTATTTTATCCTAATGTCGTATCATTCGCGTTGGTTTTTAAAGGATTTTGTTATGCTGTCCTTGATTAGCATGCCTCTTCGTGTTTTACACAGGCGACGAGTAGAAAGGCAAAATGATGCACTGGCCTCGCACTTTTCGGACATATTGGTATGGCATACATCTAGGACTGAGTCCTTTATTGTAAAAATCCACCCGTTGATATGAGGAAGGTGTGGAACTATGCTGTGCGCCGAATTTGCTGACGCCAAGATGGCAGTTATATCAGATGCCGTCTATCGACCCATAGTATTGGGGTGTCGCGCATTCTACTACTACTACTACCACTACTACTACTACTACTACTACTACTACTACTACTACTACCACTACTAGTACCAATACTATCACGACGATCGTCTGCTTGACGGACTCTAATTAAACAGACGCCTGAGTGTCTCTGAGCGATCGGATGTGTAGACTATAACCAAGTATAACAGATGCTACGGCCTATTAGTCTGTTTTGACAAAAGTTCGCTGGGTCTTCATTTAAACGAAGGACGGAGGCAATGGCTACCCTGCTGTTTGTGGGTGATCCAACCCGTCTCCAGCCCCCCCGTGTCCTTTCGAGCGATCTCTACGTAGGGGAGACGCTGCCCCCTCTGAGCATGAACATAATCGAGTATCGGCTGCTGAAAAAATTAATAATTAAACCCCTCGCTGTGGGACACACGTACCGGCCACGGGTCACATCCTCATTCGGGTTAGGAGGGCGTGGGGGAGGGAAGGAATAAAGTCAACTCCATTAGATTCGAGAGCGCGACAGAGGAGTGGGTGTGATCAGCCTCCATTCGAACGTGCTTATCTCGTTTCTTCGGATCAAATGTCCGCTAGCCGGTGGAGGTGACCTCCACCCGCGACTGGTCACCGTGGTTCGATGATTGTGCGTGGATGAGAGGTAGGACGTCACGTCCTATACACGCATCAGAGTGCGAAAGTGCCTTATCACATTCGCACATCGCACGAGCAGTGGTCACGCAGACGATGCGGGTCGTCATTGCTCCATGGTCCTGTCACTTCATCACAGAAAATCGG